CTCTCAATTTGCCCATGGGCTCTCTAAGAGCCCCTGCTATCTCCTGGGCCAAAGCCCCCATTGCGTCTTGGGCCGGTGGAGCGGCCACATTGTTTTGACCCACTCATTGTGGAGGGATCTCCGGTTGGGCTGGAATATTCTTACTGTCCTGACGAGGTTTGCCATGGCCTCTACCATGTCCTGACATTCTATAAGAATCATAGAGAAGATTAAATTCGTGACTCGTCTTTCTACATTTAGTCCCACCCGTCCCACACGCATTAGTAGGAGAACATACATATATTCAATTCACATTTGGCATTCCACATATGCACTTTGTCACATAGAGCACATATGAACCACTTTTCTAAGATATCAATATGTACCACGGTGCTCAAAGACTTCTAAGTGGAAAAAGCATTGATCAGGTGCCTTTCCAAAATGACTTCAATGAGTGCAGTGGATCCAAGTTGTATCCTAGAAGTTTGATCACATACCCACATAATCATGCAAATAGATATACCATACAAGAGAGCCTAGCGTCCCTTTCTACCATAATAAACCCATTGTGGCAAGGCCGCGTCCGATGAACTCAAGGTATTCAAACCTGGTTAGCTCTGATACCAATTTGTAACGCCCCCAAAAGACATAATATAAATACATCAATCAAACACAATTAACTTCAAAAGGTCCTCTTTCTCCTTGAACTAAGATTTTCCCTTTACAGTTCCATGTTCAACATGATAATTACACATCCATATATAAAATAGTTCCATAAGCTAGAGGACAAGATGAATAGCCCTAAAGGCTTATAACAATTCAAAGCATTGCCTTGTTACAACCAAATTAGTTGTATATAAGGTCATGCATGTGTATATAACATATTCTTTTGGCTCGTTTCGGAGTATTAGGTGAGCATTTATTTGCTTTAGCATATTATATGCGTGAGTCACATATCATATTCATTGTTATACCATGAGGCTAAATGTTTAATTCAAATATCTGCATGAATGCCAATGGATGGAGGTTGTCTTGTTTGTATTGGGATGTAGTTGATTCTCATACTTCTGAGTTTGTACAAAAAGGATTTTCAAAAAGGCATGAAATCAAAGCATAACCAAAATCAAGTCTATATTTGATTGCCTCAGATAGTAATGTTAGTATTAATAATAATCGGAACATGAATATATGTTGATTATAAAAACCACATCATGACTTAGTAGAGGCCGATCTTTTGATCGGGTGAGGGGGGGCTCAATTAATGACCTTCCCCTTTCATACCTAAGTTTCCGAGCTGAGATACTTTGGTTATGACGGACAGTGGCCTTTGGCACGAGTCACGGGATACCTAATTTTAAAAAAAAAATTAGGAGGCGACTCTAAAATCTAGTGATATAGTCAATTTTTTGCAAATGTTTTGCAATAAAATGAATTTTCTATAAAAGTTATTGGATCAAGACTCATTTTCTGTTTTACAATATTGCACTAGTGATATCAGATCGGAGATTGAGTGTCTGAATTGTTGGGCATGCTTGGCAATCCCAAAGGCATCCTACAGCTACTTAGGGCCACCTCCTCTCTTTGTACATGTGTAACTACTAATAACTGCTCATTTGATAACTTATCTCCCTTGTGCTTCTCACGTGTTAAATAATACTCAAAGCTTGTACGTATTGCTCATGTGATTTGTTTCAAAGGTAGGACTCTTTAATGATTTATGTATCTGTATGTTTCCCTTTGCTTACCACGTGTTGTCTTCTGATTGGATGGCTTAATTATGGCACCAATAGTGTCAGGTCTCCCTTCAAAAAGGGCAAGGTTGGTGTCCAGAAGATTATACACAACTTCTTCAAGCCCAATGAGACCTCCATCTAGGTCTTAGTTTGATACACCAGAGACCAGTTCGCCAACTTACATGCTTGTATTATCCGTAACGACTTTGTTGGAAGGAAGCAATATATGCTCAGGTCCATCGTTGACCCTAACTACGCCGTCAAATCCTTTGATCGGACGGAGGCTAACTGCTTCACTTTACAAGGTATTTCTCTGTCTCCTTCTTCTTTCCTCATGCACTGCGACCACTTAGTTAGCCAACATTCTAAGTGCATCCTTAATAAGTTCAAATTTATTTTTTGATCAGGCATCTCGTGCAGTGTCGTCTCTCTCGTACATCTCTTTGACAATGGCATATTGACCACATGGTGCTCCTCTTGGTGCTATGATCAGGACTCGAGCCTATGCTTTGATATCAACTGATGCGTGGAAGCATATCGGAAAGATGAGTAAATGATAAGATTAAACCACAAACAAATCCGAACTAGAGATACTCTCTGTAGAACAAATAATATTGAGAAAAATCTCAATTTTTTATTAATCAAATGTTAAACTTAAACTGAATAACCCTAAGGCTTACAACCTTATTTATAATAAAACTACTTCTTGAAGAACAATAAGCTAATAAAACTTAAAATAAAAATCAAAACCATTAGAATAGAAAAATTACATCATATCAAATTAAGAAACTAAATAAAATTATACTATTCTATACTAAATTAGAATATTCCTAATTAAATATTAATTCTAAAATATAAAATAAAAATATATAATAATTTTAAATCTCAGTCTGCATCAGATACTGTTTTGCCTATAAAAAGACTTGATGTATTCGTTTTTTAGTATCCCAACTATTGACTTTTGATAAGAAAATCTTGTATACTCCTTAGATAGTTGTTTTACAAAAACTCACATAACACTTTAAATACTTTGCATCCTACATTGTTCGTTCTACATTCTAGGCCGGTTGGGTAATTAGAGTCGTTTATAAATGGAGATTGAAACTGAAGCTTTGTAGTGTCCTGAAGATCAAGAAGACTGGCTGGGTGCTAGTAGATAATGGCGGAGCTACGAATTCAGTGAAGGGGGGCACAAGTTAATGACAACATTGAATTTTGCATAAAAAACAACAATGAGATATTACTACACTTAAATATTAAGAGTCCGTTTAGATAAATTTGAATTTTAAATTAAAGGATTTGAGGTTAAATTTTATAGAAATATTGGAGAGTAACTATGTTAGGTGGATTGGAAAATTAAAAAAGAAGGTAAGTTGAGATAGAAATAATATATTTTAGTAGAGAAATTTTATAAAACACACCGCAAAAAAATGTCTATCATATGTCGCAATTATGATCTTTATGATCTCTAATTATAACACATTGTAGTATTGGATATAACTTAGTTATAGCTTCTTATTGTTGTTATTTTGATTTTGAGTGAAGAAGTTTTTAGTTATGCATCAAGTAATGGTTAGTTATAGCTCATTCTAATGTTAGTTATAACCTATTGTGGCTGTTCAAAAAAAAAGTTATAACCTATTGTGATTTTGTTGTGGTTATGATTGAAGATGTGTTGCTTGCTTATAATTTATATAGTGGTCATTTTAGTTATGAATGAAAAATATTTGTTTATGACACTTTATAATAGCAATACCACAAAGTCATAATTTGTATATGGTACACCCCTTTTGGAAGTGTATAATAGAATGACCCATTTTAGTAGGTTCATTGTAATTAGATGGAAAATTTATAATAGAGGGCACTATTGCAATTTTAAAAGGGGATACCATTGTAATTTTATGGAGGATATATATGATATAATCTATATATATAGAGGTACAAATATAATTATCAAAAATTTAGGGGGTGTTGCTGGTCCCATGGTGGCTCCGTCCTTGCTCATAGAGTTACTAGGAGTCATTGTGTTAGGTATATTTAGGTGAAAGTTGTAAATCCTCTCGACTTTGTCTTTATATGCCTAAAGTGTGTTTATATATTAGATTTTAAAAGAGATTTGTAAAGAGAGAAAAAAGAAAAAGTGAAGAGAAATATAATTAAAATATAAATTAAATTTTTATCACTTTTTCCATTTTTTTTCTTCATTTTCCTCTACAATTTCCTTCGAAAATCCTAAATTCAACAGTGTGATTGTTAGTTTAACTAATTTCTCAAACTTTTCCCATGAGCAAGAGATTTTTCTACAACTTATAACGGACGGGTCTTCTTGGTCATCTCCAATGGGGCCTCTAACTGTACCACCAGTTTTGGATGAGAAATAAGTGGTGAGTAAGAGTTCTAAGTCGAGCCAATGTTGAAAAGTATTCATGCTTGAAGATTTATATGCACATTAATGGTACGTTTACTGAATTTGAGTTGGTTTGAATTTGTATATATTGGTTGTTCAACAGGTCATTCAGGAGGATACCAGTCATCCAGGTTGATGCTGGTTGATAAGGATCATAATTACGATTGACGAGAGTGACAACTGTATTTGACAAGGGCGATGCCAATCATCTGACCACGTCATTTGGGTAGAGTGGAGCTCCCACTATTTCAGTGGACCAAGCATTTTTCTTATTTAAGATGTAGTTAAACAGTTGGGTTAGATAAATGTGAATTTGAAATGTATAGATTTAACATTAATTATTAATTATTTAATTAGAGTAATTTAAATTTAAATTTAAACTTGATAGTTTATATATAAATTTCAAGTTTGAATTAAACAGTTTTATTGTAATAAATTTGACATAACTATACGGAAGTTTTCTAACTATCAAGATCATACTCTGGAGAGAAATTTTATAATACACATCCCCAGTTATGACATTTGTGATATTTAGTTATGACATGTTATTTATGATTTGATTATGACTCATTGTGATATTGGTTATGATTTATTTTGATTATCATTTTAGTTATGATAAAAAAAGTACTTTATGTAGTCTTTGGTTATGACTTATTATTATTATTTTTTTAATTATGACTGAAAACGATTTAGTTATGACATTTATTATCATAACTTGTATATGACACACATCATTTTAAAAATATGTATTATAGCGTGACTCCATACTAAAATATATCTCTTCTTTCTTAAACAATATTCTTCAATAATTTTTCTCTACGCTTGTAATAGTTAACTTTATAATATTTTTAATAAAGTCTCCTGATTTGAAAGTCACACTTATCCAAACATATACTAGCAGACTATATAAGAAGGTATGGGTTAGATCAATGCTATCATCACCCAATTCTACTTATTCTCTTCTCTTTTTCTCCTATCCCCCTCATCATTCCGCTTATTTTTGTTGAATAAAAAGAAAAAATGGGGCGATTTATATCAGTGTTTCAAATCTCGTTATATCTCATGCTGCAATATCAGGTTAGTTGTTTGTTATCTCTGTCTACCTTACCTTCCACAAATCATTTTTGTCCTCATGATGAGAGGCATGCACTACTTCAATTTAAGCAATATTTTACTGTAAACAATTCTGCTTCTTCCTTTTGTGGTTATCCAAAGACGTTGTCTTGGAATGAGAATTCTAGCAATTGTTGTTCATGGGATGGGGTGACATGTGATGGGCTGACGGGTCATGTGATTGAGCTTGACCTCTTTTGTAGCCAACTCTATGGCACCATCCATCCTAACAACAGCCTCTTCCAACTATCTCACCTACAATTGCTTGATCTCAGCTGGAATGACTTCAATTACTCCCATATTTCATCAGGAATTGGCCATTTTCCAAGTTTGACACATCTTGAACTATCGTTTTCCAAATTTTCAGGCTCGATCCCATCAAAAATCTCCTACCTATCCAAACTAGTGTCACTCGGTATTTCTTCCGATGATGCTGGATTACTAAGACTTGAACCACACAATTTTAGAATGTTGCTCAAAAACCTAACCCAATTACAAGAACTTGCGCTTTTGCAAGTGAACATATCTTCAAGTTTACCCAATTGCTTGATGAATTTGTCTTCTTTAAGGACTCTACACCTTCCCTTCACCACATTGCATGGGGACTTACCACATGAAATTTTGCTCCTTCCGAACTTGCAAGAACTTGAGTTATCAGGTAACAATGATCTAACTGGTGTTTTTCCAATGGTAAATTGGAGCAGTGGTAGTAACCTCACGATGTTACATCTCGGGCTTACGAATTTATCTGGAGAGGTACCTGATTCAATTGGCCATCTCAAGTCTTTATTTTCCTTGGGCCTCTCCCATTGCAACTTCTTTGGGTCCATTCCTAAATCACTAGGGAATCTTACACAGATTACGTATTTGGATCTATCGTGGAACAATTTCAATGGTCAGGTCCCTTCTACACTCTCAAATCTTAAGCAACTCACAAGCTTAATTCTTGTCTACAACAATCTAGATGGGACAATTCCGGATGGCTTTGGTAAGCTCATAAATCTAGAGTTTTTAATTCTTGGAGACAACAATTTTCGTGGCCGATTCCCATGTTGGGTGGTAAACTTGACGCAACTTGTTGTATTTGATGTATCAAATTGTACACTCACAGGTCCCATTCCACAATCAATTTCAAAACTTGTGAACTTGACTACCCTCGATCTTTCATCAAACAATTTTAGTGGTGTTCTGGAGTTCCAGGTCTTCTTAAACCTCAACAAACTTGAGTTTCTTGATCTTTCTTTAAATAATCTGTCAATCAAAACCAGTAGTAATAACAATGGTACCTTGCCCAACCTTTCAACATTCCGTTTGTCCTCTTGCAATATAAACGAGTTCCCAAATTTCTTAAGAAACTCAAATTATCTCCAAACACTAGATCTTTCCAACAACAAAATTCATGGTCAAATTCCAAAATGGGTTGGGCAAGCTTCATTCCTCCAAACACTAGATCTTTCCAACAGCAAAATTCATGGTCAAATTCCAAAATGGGTTGGGCAGGCTTCATTTCTCCAAACACTAGATCTTTCCCACAACAAAATTCATGGTCAAATTCCAAAATGGGTTGGGCAGGCTTCATTTCTCCAAACACTAAATCTTTCCCACAACAAAATTCATGGTCAAATTCCAAAATGGGTTGGGCAGGCTCCATATCTTTTAGATCTTTCTCATAACTATCTTCAAGGACCAGTGCCAGTTCCAACACTCTCTATGTCTTACTTTTTGATCTCACACAATAAGCTCACTGGAGATATCCCCTCATCGATTTGCAATTTGAGTTCCCTTGTCCTCCTTGATTTTTCTCATAACAAACTGAGTGGTGTAATTCCACAATGTTTGGGAAACTCCAGCAATGTGCTATCGGTGTTAGATCTACAGATGAATGATTTTCATGGGACCATTCCAACAACATTCGAAAAGAGTAATCATTTGAGGAATCTTAACTTGAATGGAAATCATTTGGAAGGACAAGTACCACGATCTTTGGCCAATTGTAAACACATGGAAGTGCTAGATCTCGGAAACAACAAACTAAATGATACATTCCCCTACTGGTTGGAGTCTCTTCCAGAATTGCAGGTTCTTATCTTGCAATCAAATAGATTTCATGGTCCAATAAACACTTCGAGGATTAAAGTTCCCTTTCCTAAGCTTCGAATCATAGACCTCTCTCACAATGAGTTCACTGGACTTCTGCCAGTAACATATTTCAGAAATTTCAAAGCCATGAGACATGTGGATAAAAATAAAACAGCCTTGAAATATATGGGGGAAAATTATTATCAAGATTCTGTAAAACTAGTCATAAAGGGGTTGAATGTTGAACTATCAAATATTCTATCCATCTTCACAACAATTGACTTCTCAGACAATAAATTCAAAGGAGAGATTCCAAATGTCATCGGAAGGCTACAAGCTCTCCGATTGCTTAATTTTTCTCATAACTGCCTGACGGGTGATATTCCATTATCATTGGGAAATCTATCAATGCTTGAATCATTAGACCTCTCTTCGAACCAACTCACTGGGGATATTCCAGAGCAACTCACGACTCTGACGTTCCTTGCAATCTTAAACCTTTCAATGAACCATCTAGTTGGACCCATACCTCGAGGCTATCAATTTGATACATTTCAAAATGATTCATATGTTGGGAACGTGGGATTATGTGGATTACCCTTGTCAAAGGAATGTGGAGATAGTGAGGCAAAACATCAACCACCTCTTGTATTTCAAGAGGAAGGTGATACAATTTTTTTAGGTGGATTTACTTGGAAAGCTGTGGCGATGGGGTATGGATGTGGAATGGTATTGGGATTGGTTATGGGATATGTCATGTTCTTAATTGGAAGACCAAAGTGGTTTGCCAGAATTGTTAAAGGAGAACAACATAGGAATGTGAAAAGTATAAAGCAGATTGGTTACCAAGGAGGTATGAGAAGAAATCAACAAACTTAGAAGGCGTTTTCAGGTATGATGTTGAAGTTCTGCATTTACTTGTATTAAATTAATAAAAATATCCATTTTCATGATTGTCACATCTATAGTAAATGTTACCTGCAACGTTATATATAGTTGGCTTTATATGAAGGTGTGGAAATAGTTCCATATGGTTGGATCACATGCTTAATTGTGCAAGAAATTAAATTTTCTCAAAATATGATTTTTCCAAGGGTTAAATGCCTATTTGGTGTGATTTTAGTGTTTTAGAAAATACGAAAAACTTGTCTTCAAAACTATATCCAAAATATATTTTTGAAATTTTTTTTTGAAAACAATCTTTTCAAGGAATACAAAAATGCTATTTTTTAATTTTCAAAAAATGAAAACCTTGTGACATTTTTTTTTTGATTAAAAGAAAATGTGCCAACAAGTGACTTTAGGGAATGTTTAGTACTGGGATTAGGGTGAAAAATGTCTTAAAAGTAAGTAAAAAAGTTTAGAACAATATATATATATATATATATGTGGGTATTGATTAATGAAAAGTATATTAAATTCAATGGTAAGTATTTTGAATTTAATGAAAAAATGCCTAGTGTTTTCACGTTTGTTTGATGGGATTCACTCATGGGATACGACTCCATATCCGGAATATAGAATAGTTTATTGTTAGGTTCAAAAATTTTATATCAGAGTAATAATCTATGCAGACTTTTGTCTCAAATTTGTTGGATTATTCCGTCGCATGGAGGGGGTTTGGGATACAAAACCCAAGATATAACAATTCTCATAGGATTAGATAGTAAAAATACATTTTTAACCCTCAACATTTCTAATGTTCCGGTGGACATGATGCTGTGTTCCACACTTGGTTTAAGAAGGTTCCACGCTTGGTTCCATTGTTTTTGTTTTTTTTTTTGTTTTTGTTTTTATTATTATTATTTACATGTGCTTCTTGTTACTGTTATGCTTTTTTTTTATTATTATTTTTTTTCATTTTTTTATGTACCATGGATCTATGCTATGATGTGTATCTATGAATGGAGGTTAGTGTTGGATTTGACGTAAACATTTATGGTAATAATTATACATAGTAAAGTAAAATAAAATTTAAAAATCTTAACTAAAAATTAAAATAAATTTTCGTGATTTTCATTGATGTTCTATTTATTTATTTTTTTAAAAGTTCTAGTCAGAAAATTAAATAAAATTTATAACTCAGATTTAGTATTTCTATTATTTCTGGTTTGGCATGTCTTGAAAAAGACAAAAAGTCAAAAAATTGCTTAAAAAGCTAAAAAGTTATTACTATTCACAAAAAAATACAAAAAAAAAATAAATTTACACATAAAAAAATACAACTCAACATTTTGCTGAAGTGATGGGCTGTTCGCGCAATTGGTCTACTGTATTGGTCTAGAAATGATTGCCTCCTTCGCGGGCAACCATTTAGACTGTGTTGTTCGGCCCGTGGGGGCCACCACATGCCACCTTTTGATAACCTGAGCCGTTCAATATGTAAAACTCGTTAAGTACTATATGTCTGTAAAAAATTACGTTGATCGAATATCACTAACTATATGATCAAATTAGTTTTGTATAAAAAAAAAGGATGGTGTTATAGTTAACCAGTGAACAAAAACTAATCCGATCAATGTGATTTCGATATTCGATCAATGTAATTTTTTAAATCGACGAGTTCTACATATTTAACGGTTTAGATTATCAAAATGGGACTCGTGGTAGGTTTCACGGCCCGAACAGCACAATCTAAATAGTTGGCCGCGAAGGAGGCAATCATGTCCTTATCTCCTACGCTCTGCCCAGAAAAAAGGTGTCGTACAGCCTATTACACTTACTTCTCCTATACACTTATTTATACAATTTTTTATTACGCATTTTTTCGTAAAACCACAAAAAGTTAACCCAAACATCCATATTTTTTTCCTCAACTTTTTAGTCCAAAAAGACAAAAAGTGCACTCATTTAGGACACTCCAAACAACCCCCTAAAGGGCAAAATATTCTTTTGAATAGTTATCTTTCTTCATAATATGACAAACAAATATAGGATTTAATAGAATAGTCATTTGCTGTCATCTAATTTCATATATAAACAAACATGAGATATCCATCATTTCAATCAAATAGTCAAGAGATTATTTATCTCAGGATTAACAGTCTGATAGATTATAATCTCTCTTCATCTAGTCTGCCTAAACAAACATGACCTTAAGTCCTTGTTTACAATAGAATTATCATTGTAGGTCCATAAAGTGAAGAATAGAAGTTTATTGAAGATAATGGTATGGAGATCCTTGTGGAAATAATTTCTGTGTACAACATTCATTACAAAATCAGCATGACTAGGTCATCACTAACGTTAAAAAGAATTCTAATACGTTTGGTGTAACTGTTAAAACAACTTATAGATTATAACTTAACAGATTATACATTATGACTTTAATAAAAAATTGTTAATCTGTTTGGTGTTGCTGTTAGATTATAGATTTAAGTTGCTGAGTAGTGTTTTTAAATAAGTTGTGAAATAGCATTTTCAATTAATTTTTATTTTTTGTTTGTCTACATTTTTCATAAAAAATAATAATAATAATCTATAATCCATTTGGGCCTTTTTCTATTTTTAAAAAAATAAAAAATAAAAAAATCTAAGAGTATAACCATAAATTAATATGTCTACATCAGAAGCTGATAATCAGAAGCAAGGGTAAGCAGTTTCTCAGAATCAACTTTTTTGAGTTAAAATAAGCTGTTAGAATCAGAAGCTATTTGAAATAAGTTTTAACCAAACAGTCCAAAAATAACTTTTTCAAAACTAAAAGTCATAAGTTAGTTTTGAAAAACTGAAACAAACACCCAGTTGGTAAAGTTACCTTAATTGTGATGTTGGGTCTTGGTGGCTTCACCACGAGACCTATCTGGTTGATTTAAATTATTTATCTTGTAGTGCCTTTTGAATATATTATGTATGTAAAAAATTTATATTAATTAGATAATTATAAACACATGATCAAATTATATTTGTTTTTAAAATAATAATGGTCTATTCTTAAATTTGTATTTTTCATCAATCATTTTGATAAATAAAAAATAAAAAATATGATCTGATCATGTAGTTATAATTATTCGATCAATTTAGTTCTTTTGAATAAATAATATTTTTTTGAGAGATCTATAAAATGAATTATTTGAATTATTGAGATGAGAATTATGACAAGCTTAATGAGATCTAACAACACACAGAACAGTTGGTTTGCCAACAGGAGAGAAGCACTTCCATTCTAAAAGAGACTAAAATACATTTTTGTTAGTGATTTATTACTACTGTACATTCAAGAAATTTTTCTCAAAATAACTCATTTTTTAAGAAACATAAAAAAGTTATTTTTGTTATAAAAAAAATATATATATATATATATATAAGGCAAATAAAGTAATAATTTAGAAGGGCTATTTTAGTCAATTTTAGGCTAAAATTTACAAAAAGACAAAATAAGGTAAAATAGTTAAGACAAAATGTCACATCAAACCCATAATCACTTCAGTTTTTCTCTCACAAACATTACATTCAACTAAAAAAATCCAACAATCTTCCCATACACAAAAATGTTAGCCTACTAAAATAGCCGAAAACTAAAATAGCTTACTAAAATAGCCAACTTCCCAAACAAGGCCATAGAGGACTACATTTTTTCTTTTAGGTATAGATTTTCAGTATGTTAGTTCTGTTATTTATTTAATAATTTAACTATATATTTTGGTATAGTGTTGACCATTTTCTCTCCTCATCTCTACTCTTTCTTTTCTTTTTGCTTCACACCTCACTCCCTTCTAATCTTGATCTTTTACACGTACATATTTATAGCAAAAACATGAATAGTAAGTTGGTTTGGGATGTGAGTTGACTTTTTGACTAGGCTAAAAAATCTTGTTTGTATAGTCTTTTTGACTTTTCTAATTTTTGAAGAGAAAAAATAAAATGATTATGATTTGAATGCGACATTTTTTAATCTGAGACTAAAAAGTATATTTTGTCTTTTTATGGTTATTTTAGCCTCAACTCACCCCCAACCCATCATGCCAAACCAGTGCTTATTATAGTCAGTCACATATTTCATAATAGTTTTTAAATTTTCAAAAATTGTTTTCACAAAATGAGAACCATATGACATTTTTTTGATTAAAGGGAAATATGCTAACAAGTGACTTTATGCTATGTTTAGTATCGGGATTAGGGTGAAAAATGTCTTCAAATTAAGTAAAAAATGTTTAGAGCAATATATATATATATTTTTTATTAATGATAAGTATATTAAATTTAAGGATTATTTACATGGAGACTCTTAAACTATTAAAAAGTATCACTTTAACCTCCTAAAATATTAGCGTTTTCGCTTTAACGCTTTTTGTTATTACATCGTGACTTAAACCAAAATTTTGACATTTTTTAGATAAAAATATCCTTCAACATTTTATATAACACACCCAGGACAACTTTCTCTCAATTTTCCACCTGTCCATCTCCCTAAACCTCTTCCACTCCATAAGTCACCAACTCTAAAAAAAAAATGGCATACAGTAGCAACACAGGCTCAAACAAAAATGAAATCACATCCAGTAGTCAACAACTACAAAACTTGGGTGCTGTCTACTGCTACTGTGGCATGAGAGCTCCTTTGAGAACTTTATTCACATAGAATAATATTGGAAGGAAAGTTTTGAGATGCATGAACTTCAAGTAAACATTCATCAAACTAACTAATTTATATATATATATATATGTATATATTATGAGTTGTTTCGTTTTATTATTTTTTTTAAATATTCTTTCTTCAAAAATATATTTAGAAAAAAAATATTTATAAAACAATAATAATGGATGAATGCTTATATTTAGAAAAATTAAAAACAATAATAATGGAATGATAAATATATATAGTGTTGTAGGGTATTTTCATCTAAAAAATATCGAAAGTTTGATTTAACTCATAATGCAGTAACAAAAGGGGTCAAAATGAAATGTGCTAATAGTTTAGGAAGTCAATTTGTATGCTTTTATAGTTTAGCGGGTTCATTTGTATGTTTTTATAGGTGATTAAAATGATACTCTTCAATAGTTAAGAGGTTTCCGTATAAATAACCTCAAATTAAATGATAAATATGTTTTGAATTCAATAAAAAATGCCTATTTCATTTTGTCTTTTTCTTTTGCATTAAGTCACTGTTAAAAAATACCATATCAAGGGGGTGGATTATTCAATCAATGATTTGCTTTTATAATCTGAAGTCCATCAGGGGTCTATGAAGAGTGTTTGTTCTGCTCTGTTTTGCTTTCCTTTGCTTTGTCCCATTTATTAGTGACTGTTGTATCTTTTTGGGTGTTTGCTGATTGTTCAATCTTCAACTAGTATTAGGTGGGTGCTGCAAATGATTGGATGATTCTTTTTTGTGTCAACCTAGTTGGAATGAGTAGGTTTCATTTTGATGTTTATAACACTTTCTTCTTTTATCTTTATTGATGGTTCTGATTTAATAAAGTTTACTATTTTACCAATAAAAAAACAAAAAATCACTGTTCAAAATAGCTTAATTAAAAGGTAAACTAAACCCTTCATTTACTGAGAGAATCATTGTCGTGGATCTACAAAATGAAGTATACAGGTTTACGGAGGGGATGTGAATCCTCTGTTGGGATTTTTTGTGTGGAGATGGTGGGGAGGATTTCACTAGGGAATGACACCTCATGAATTAGGTAATCTTTTAGGCTGTTATTGGGTAACATCTGTTATTAACAAGTATCACTTTATTCCTTAAACTATAAATATGTACAAATGAAACTCCTAAACTATTGACATTTTTTCACTTTAATCCCTTTTGTTAAGGGTTCATTTTTTCAATTTGTACATTTTTATAATTTAGAGGGACCATTTATATGTTTTTATAATTTAGGAAACAAAGTGATACTTCTCAATAGTTTAGAAGGTTTATTTGTACACCAATATAGTTTAAGAGGTCAAAATAATACTTCTCAATAAGTTAGGGGACTTCATGTAAATGACTCTTTCATATATTATATGCACAATCAGGAGATTAATTTAGTTCCTCTAGTGGTAATAAGGCCACCAAAAATGCTTGGGACCCCCAAAGTTGGGGACCCCTATGACCCTCCAAATGATGTGGACCAATCATATGTTTTTGTTTTTTTGTTTTTTTTTCTTTCTTGATTCAATCACAGGTGAGTGGAGATTATGAGAGTTGTGTTTTTTAGGAGTACGTAGTATTGTTGTAATGCCACAAACAAAACAAAGAAATGCAACAATAATAATGCTCCACACAGCAATCAATCGTGGAAATTATTAGACAATTTTTGAATTGGTGTTCCAACTATTTTGCTTATTTTTATGGTCTCCAAATAGGGGAACTAATCATTTGCTGAGTAAAAATGTGAAAATAACATCACTGTTTTTACAGGAAGTTTCCAGTGAAGGAGGGAGGGAGAGGTACAATTTCATTTTCCACCTAGTTTTGGAGACCATCTTTTTCTTGATCCCAGCAGCCATCACAAGCCTCTCTGCTTGCCTCGCATCAGACTGCAATTGGTTCATATGATATTGTCTAGAGTCATAGTTGATTTTTTTTTTTGGAGGGGGGGGGGGGTTTTTTTTGGTTCTGCTTTGTGTTGCCTTTTTAATTCCCTTGGTGTATTTTGCCCTTTTTTTTGGTGTTTTTTTTTGCTGTGTTGGTTCCTTCCTTGGCAACAGTCTATCTGTTCCTTGCCTTTGGTGCTCAATATGATTGGCTTGGTTTGCAGCTCATGTGCCAACCTAACCTAATTAAGATATGTTTGTTTAATAATGATTGGTGGTGTAAATTTGGCCCGGTCCGTCCATGTTGGGCCGTGCAAGTTCTAGTCAAAATTTGGGCTGGGCCAGACCGGGTGATGGGCCAAAAAATTAAGCCCAGATCCAGAGAGTACTTAGGCCTTGGGTTAGCCGGCGAACTGGGTCTGGGCGGGCTTAAACATTTTTTTTTCTATTTTTTCTACTAAAATGTTATTATTTTTTTCCACTAAAAATTATATTGGGCCTCGGGTCGGGCTTTGAGTGGGCCTTGAACACGCTGATAGGCCGGACTTCAAAATGACGGCCCAAGCCCAGGCCTAGGGTCCTGAGCTGGGCTCGGGCCAGGGCCTAATCAGGCCTAACCCACGCCAGGCTGCGGGCGAGTTTCAGGCCACCCACAAGCCAAGCCATTTTTACACCCCTAATAATGATACTTTTGCACTTGGACTATAATAATTCTTTGTATATCGCTATGTAATTTTTTTAAGTGTACTTTTTAATATATTTTGAGGTAATTATGACATCACAATTCGATTATAATTAACGTGATTTTTGAACCAATAAGCCTTGATTTGGTCTCTTTTCCAGTTTGCCAAACAGTTCAACACATTAGTTTGATTTCATGAATTTGAAATGAAAATATCTGATACTATAATTTAAATATACATTTCAAAATTAAATTTAAATCATGAGGTATTTTAAATAACAATATTGAACTCTTTACATAAGTATCCTAATTGATTAACAACTTGATGAAAAATCATATTTCCTCGGTTCCAAAGTATTAGTTCCTTATTTAATTTTTCATCGTCCTAAAATATTGGTCCTTTCAAAAATCAATGACTAAAATAATATAAATTTTCTATTTTGCCCTTATTTTAAATTCATTAATTAATATTTTTGAAGTGTAATAATTATATTACCAAAGGGTAATTTTGAAAAGTTAATAGTTTTTGAAATGAAATAATTGTACTACCAAAAAAGGTTAGATTCCCCAAAAGGGAATAATATTTTGTGACAGAGAGAGTAATAGACAGTTTACTGAACTAGAATTTGGCTCGCAAACAATCAAAAATTTTATTTTAAGTACCAACTAAACATCGAAAAACACAAACAGAAAATATTTGTATTTGTGGAAAATCAATTTATATGAAAAATATATTTTTGTATAAAAAGTTCTTAGGGGGATTTGATCAAAATCCTCTCATAATAAAATTTTAATACATTAAGAACAAGTATAAAAAAAATTCTTGAAAAGTCCAACACATACCATTATTATCAAAATATACTTAGTGAGTAATTTAATATTTTAAATTTTAAAATAATATAATTTTTTTAATAAAATTAGTATTTTTAGAATTCTCTCATCAAGATCTATTAAATAAGATCAATGTTGACTATGAACGAAAAAAAATTACCGTCGAAATTGATACAAACAGTAACATGCCACTCTATCTCGCAGTAACATATTACTTTAGTTCACAGTAATATTTTGCTGTTACAAAAGCAAAGTACATACCAGATAAACCAACCAAAAATACACATACATAACATTTCTAAACTTGTATAAAATAAAATAAAAGTGTTCATTGCCAAAAGAGTTCGGATCATTGCGGCTATTCATGGTTAATTCTTCTTCACTCTCCCAACAATTTTGCAGAAAAACCTTCTGCAGATATACTTTTTCTAAAAACATTTTCTCAAAACATTATACTATTTCAATGTGATGATATGCAGCAATGTCCAATGCAAATGGATGGGAAATAGTTCCAATTTACTTAGTTTTCATGCAATTTCTATAACAATCATAGCTATCCTCCACCAATAACCCAAAACAGATATCTCTACACAATAAATAAACTTTCCAAACTTCGAGATGTGAGTGGTAATACATACCCAACTCCACCATTTTCATCAGCAACAACCAAGCTTCACCATTTTAACATCTTTTCCATTTAGTAATACAAAATCAACATTTGAGATTTCTTGGGGAAAACCCCCCTTTTCTTTGTAAACCATTTTTTAAAGATAAAACTCATCATGCCATCATATCTCACTTATACACATCCATCCAAAATCATTCCTAATAAACCATTTGAAAACCCCATCATTTGATTTCGAACCAAACCAAAGATTTGTTCAAAAATCCATTTCTTTCACAAAGTGGTTTCATGAAAACAAATAACTAAGTTAAAACTCATAAAGAAGCACGGGGAATCTCTACCTCAAGATTAGAAGAGGGAGAAGGAAGGAAACCCAAAAGTCGACGGAGACGAAATAACGATTTGCTTTGATCAAAATGAAGCCCTTGACAAGATCTACACTTAATCTCAAAGGAGCAAGGTAAGGAAATGCTTCTACGTGGGTAGATCTGAAGATCTCTATAAAAAAGTGAGTTGAGAGAGATAGAGAGAGAGAGAGAGAGAGAGAGATTCACGGTTTTAGAGGAAAAGAGAGAAGATAAAGTGAAGAAAAGGGTAAGTGAGGGCCCTATTTATAGTACTATGTTAAAGTGAAATAAAGTTCCAAAGTCAACCCAAAAGAATAAGTCAAAACCCTCAAAAAAATAGGGCCCAAAATTGGACTGAAATCTGGGAAAAAGAACATAGGGGTCGACCCTCAAGTCGGCGGTGTCGACCCTCAGGAAGAAATAGCAAAGACACCAATGTTGGCAGTAGACAAGGCGTTGACCTTTGGACCCGTGGTGTCGACACCAAATTTCAGTAGCCAATTCTAGATTCAGCAACAGACAAGGGTCGACACCTCCTAAACTAGTGCTGACCTAGAGGTCAACAACAAAAAACAAGTGTCGACACCACCAAAGGCTAATGTCGATCCTAAATTTCAATAGCTATCCAGGAACACAGCAGCATGAAGGTGTCGGCCCTTCCAAGGCTAGTCGACCCTTGGAGCAAAACAAGACCAAGAAGAGGAGGGTAGTGTTGACGACAACAAGAATGGTATCGACCCCTGAAGCCAAAACCAATATGAAGAGAAAATGACGACCGCCACAGATATGGTTTGCCAGATTCAAAAACAATAAATGGGTCAGGTCTAAGATCAGATCATTATAACATCCCTCCTTAAGGAATTTCGTCCCCAAAATTTTAAATCAATAACAAAACCAAGTTTAAACCGATTACAATCATAGTAGTAAATCAAATTTATCTCCATGATCCATCCACCGGTCAATCATTCCCAGGATAAGGATAACCAAATTCTCAATAATGAATATACAATTCACATTTCTAAATATATACAGTGTTTACATTACATTAGCATAACAAGTTTTGAATACATGTTCAAGCATCAACAAATAGGTCCAGATACTTTTCACAGACTTCCAACTCACGCTCCCAAGTGGCTTCTTCAACCCCGTGATGTTTCCATAACGCCTTCACCAAAGGAATTGTCTTGCCTCACAAGACTTGGTCTCGAGTATTTAAAACTCTAATCGGTCTCTCCTCGTATGAGGCATCCTCATCTATCTCTAACTTGGTCCAATCCAGCACGTGCGATGGGTCTGGCTCATACTTCCGAAGCATACAGATATGAAGCATGTCATGAACCCCAGAGAGCCGTGGCGGCAAGGCCAAACGGTAAGGTACCACCCCAATCCACTCTAGGATCTCAAAAGGTCCAATAAATCTTGGAGACATCTTCTCACTTTTCCCAAACTTCATCAAACCTTGTTTAGCTGATATCTTCAAAAAGACATGATCTCCTACCTCAAAAGATAACGGTCTCCTCTTACGATCGGCATATCTCTTCTGACGACTTTGAGCTGTGACCAACTTTTTACGAATAAGCGCAACCTTCTTCGTCGTTTCCTAGACTAATTCAGGACTTATTATAGGTGCATCACCCACCTGTACCCATCATATAGGAGATCTACGTAGTCGGCTGTACAAGGCCTCAAATGGTGCCATTCTAATACTCGATTGGAAGCTATTGTTGTAGGCAAATTCCACTAGGGGCAAGTGTCTCTCCCATGACCCCTTAAAGTTAAGGATACAACCCCGAAGCATATGCTCAAGCATTTCAATGGTACGCTCTGACTGTCCGTCAGTCCAAGGATGATAAGTGGTGCTACAAGTTAACTTAGTGCCCAAGGAATTCTGTAGGCTCTGCCATAACCGAGCCTTGAAACGTGAATCCTTATCCGAAACAGTGGTCATAGGGACCCCATGAAGTCGAACGATGTCCCTGATATAAAGGTCGACAAGATAATCTGCCGAGTCGCTTGTGCGCATAGGTACAAAGTGTGTTGACTTAGTCAATCGGTCAACTACCACCCAAATAGCATCATTACCCCGCTGAGTCCTCGGAAGACCCACAACAAAATCCATTTGTGACATGCTTCCACTTCCACTCGGCTATAGGCAAAGGTTGCAATAATCCTGCTGGCCTCTAATGTTCAGCTTTCACTTGCTGACAAGTAAAGCACTTCGATACAAACATGACTACGTCCGTCTTCATACCCCTCCACCAAAACTGGCGACTAAGGTCATGATATATCTTTGTGTCTCCCGGGTGCACCGCAAGGCGTGAATGGTGAAACTCTCTGAGTACCTCATCTCGACAAGACTCTGGTACGACAAGACGGTCAATGTATCTAACACTCGAGTCAGAATACACATTCAAGCCCTTCTCTACCTTCCCATTGGAGATCTTCCCCCGAAGGGTTTTTACCTCAAGATCACCCCTCTGTGCTTCCATAACTCGATTTACAAATGTAGGCTGTGCCACTACAATAAACAAAGCAGCTGACTCTACAGACTCGCTAAGATACAT